ACCAATTCCTTTCAAAATGTGAACTACGAGATCCTCATCAGAGATGGGGTTTTGGCCTTTGGGCTAACACAAGGTCTTCTGCAAAGGCTTGCATTTCCGCCAGATAAGCAATGATAGACTTGGACCCTTTCTTAGTGCGGCAGAGGGCTGATTTGAGAGAAACAATGCGACCACGAGAGGTGCTCGCATAGGTAAGATTCAGTTTGTCCCAAGCCTGTTTAGCCGTGGTTGCAGAAGATATAATCGGCTGAATCGTGTCAGTGTAGCTTCCAAGCAAAGCACTGATGATGGTTTTGTCCTGTCGATACCATATGATATAAAAGAGATTTATGTGCGTTTTTGCAGCATCAAGAAACTGACCGGGAACGGTGATAGTGTCAGTGGCGGAACCAGAGCTGTATTTGAGCAGGTGCTGAGAAGGCGAGAAATATATCATAAAATCCTTTTTTTGCTAACATAAAATTCTTATTATAGACGCTAGTTTACACGTTTATTGTATATACCTCTAATTGTACGTGTACATTAGCAATTCGTAAAATAAATTAGAACTTTTTCTAAAAAATGTACGAAATTGTCTTTTAGGCGTGTAAAATTGAGATGCACACCCGTATATGTGTATACAAAGCACGACTGGTATATGAAACCTCAAAAGTATGATTGTTAGAAAACTTAATGTCTACATCTAAATAGCGAACTCTACCCCGGGAAATAAATTCAACGCGGGGTTGTTTTGCCCTTTTATTATCTTCACTATAAGTGTTTGAAAACTCTTCAATCTATATTAGGAATTTTAACATGGTTAAGTTAGCCTAACAAATTATACAACAAAATCATATAATGATTACATATTTACATACCCTGAATTTATTTTTAGGCACTAGTAAATATATTACCGTATATAACATAAATTGTAAATCATAAATACAAACTTACAAAGTTGATGTACTGCCCGTGCATATAAAATCTAATTCATAAATTCACTAATTACTTACACACAATTGATTTACACAACAAAACATATTCATAAATAGATTTACACACCATTATAAAATCATTGAAATACATAAAGAAAAACAATAAAATAATTAAACTACAAAACTAATACGTGGTACAAGGAAACTTACCTTCACAGGCTTTTGGGCCTTCTGCTTCTTCACCAAGCGCACTCAAGCGGGGTACGGCGGCGGAATTGGCGAATTGTTCTTAAACAAATATGGAGTAGAATAACCTAAGGAGCATCTGACTGTCCTATTAGATGTCATTTATTTCATATTGGGTGTCGTTTCATTTATGAGTGTGTTTTCGTTTCATTTAAAAGAACGGTGCCGTTTCATTTAGAACGGTGTCGTATAATAATAAGTCAAAATAATAAAACAAAACCCAGTTGAGAAGCAGATCGTATGTTACGCAAAGGCTACTGGAGAAGATGAAACCTTCAACACTTCCGGGGACAGGGGCGCTTGGCAAATAATACATATTTATACCTTGATTCTTCCGGCGAAGGGGTGGCGCCGGCACCGGCTCGCCCACCCCTGGTTCCGCCACTGGATAGTGTTATCGAGGTAACCATCAAGTGCTAAGCAAATTAGAGCAGATTGGACTTGGCATTTACTGATTTACACACCGGACAATTGGTTGTGGTGAGTTTGATTGGGAAATGGGTGGCTGCTGTGAGGCTAACGACTGAAGTAGTTTCGGTGATAGTCATGAGGATGACTGGAAAAAATCGGATCTAAATAGCTCGTGTGAGAAAGGCTCTAGATACCATGGAAGGGAAATGATTGTTGTTATTCCAGTAGAGAGCAGAGCTCATATATATACAATTGCCTGGAGGAGAGGATAGCTATACATGAGTAATATTAGGTAACGACTAACTTAGTGGTAGGCTTTAGCTATAACAACTGATCTCCACTACGTGCGGATAACTATAGAATTAATAAATACAAAAGTACATTAATTATGATTTAATACCAAGAACCTCAGCTGCTTGGAAGAAACCATCGAGCAGAGCTCAGTTCAATCATACACCCAATGGAGCAAATAAAGTTTCATGGACACAGTAAAAGATGGAGTTTTACGATGGAGAAGGGGAACGACTCAGTGAGAAATGCTGGTTTGTTTCTAGGGTTTAGCTCTATAATTCCTCTCGAATTTTATTCCTCCTATTTCCACATTTGGCTGCAATTCTTTTGTTTCACCTAGCTGACGCTTTCGATTGAGAACGTTGGAGTGTTGGACAGCTTGTTGTGGTTTTTTTGTATCATCTCTCAGTGCTGATTGGGTCAGGTTCAAAGATGACCCGAATGTTCTTCCTTGCCTTGGCAATGACACTTATTCAGCTACTCCACCCAGTCAGCTTGCTCTACCTCTTGAAGGCATGTTTCTGCTCAGCTGCTCCACAGGTCCTTTAAGTAGCACATGTCGATCTCTATTTATGCATTTCTATGTTCATTTGCATTTCCATGATTTTGGCTACATTGCTTTTAAATTTGTTTGTGATATGTAGTGCTTAACTTTTTTATTATAAAGGTGAACGCTTTTTAGATTTTGTCATTTGACAGTTTACGAATCATCTTCCAATGGATTGAGCATCTTGCAACAGAGGTCTCCCATCGTTAAGGTAGAACCTTGATCTTAATCATGGGTGTACATGAAAGTAACTATGATATGATGTTTTTAAAAAAAAATCAAATAATGAGTACCTTGTGACCTTGTGTTTATTAACAGGCATGGAATTATAGGGATACAAATGTGTTTGTCCCTATTTCATCCAACAATCATATAAAATATAGAATAGAGAAGAGAAGAGAACATCTTGTATTCAATACCAAAAATAGTTTCGAACTTATGAACAGGGTATCGAGAAACAAGTTATCGGTTCTCTCTCTCTCACTACAATGATATGCGCTGAATATCTGTAAAAATCCCCTTTGCACATTCCCTTAAAGGCAATATTTATATGCCTAGGGAACGTGTGATGTGACCTAAGCATGATTGGGCTCTTTTATTGATTGGGCCCAATAACACACTTTACACATTTCCTAATAAAGCTTAGTCTACTTATAGCTTACAAACGTGCCAATGGGTTGAAATATTTAGACAAAATAGCTATACAAGTACAAAGATATTTAACCAGATTGGACACCATAAAATATCCCTAACAAAATGAGTATTGACTTTCTAATGGAAGAAGTTTGGAGATCTTTCCCTATTGTCATGGACCACTTGGATGCCAAAAGTGGTCAACTTGCTGCACTAGATAGGAGCTTTGCATAAGAACATTCCTTGCATGATTAGAATTACTTCAAAGTACTTATATATCTACATTGTTTTTTATATTTAAATACTACGTAGTATGTTAATATATAAGTGAGGCAAATTTTACAAAAGCATGTCTTTGTTAGACAGTAAATGTGGATCTGAAGATTCAACAAATGTAATGGACAATTGCTTCAGGGTGTGGGATATAGAATGATGGATATTAGAGCAGCCATTACATATACAAATATGACTGAACTCAAGTGGTTATGAGCCTTACCTCTCAGTATTGATAATAATCATTCCAAAGCCATTCCCTTATTTTGTGAAAGCCAATCTGCTTTGCACATCGCTCACAATCCAGTATTCCATGAATGCACAAATCATATTGAGTTTGATGCTATAAAAGATCCATCTCATTCCCCCTCATATGTACCTATTATATTGTTCAACTAGCTCATATCTGTACAAAAGCTCATGGGAAAACACAATTTCATTCTCTTCTTCGCAAGTTGGGCATTTTGGATCATCATGCTCCAACTTGAAGGGGTTATTAGAGATACAAATGCATACATGGCAGATTGACAGTTATTCTATTACTTTTAGCATTATATAATCCATTTATATATTAGTATCTATAGTCTATAGTAGGACCAAATATGTTATATTAGGTAGCTATCACTTATTTAGCTTTTACCTTCCCCTCCTTAACAATTTTAATGTGCAATCCATCTTGTATATATAATGGCTTCTCGACATTGTAAAGGTAGAATCTGAAAATAATAATAATTCCAGAATAATAATTCCAGTTTTATACTCCGTATTTGTGTAGCTCTTCATCTTACGACAGAACATGAATACGCAAAGGTCAAATCTAAATTAACATTAAGAGGCCGTTTGACAACACTGTTTTTCGCCTTATCAAGCTTATCAACTAACTTTTTCACCAAACACGTAACTTTATGAATTCATGAAGACACATTTAACCTTATAAAATTAAACCCATAAGTCAATACCTTTAATTTGCTATTTTAAATTATGAAATTAAACCCATAAATTTACATTTTTGACAAAAATAATATTACATCTGTCCCAAAATGCTTAGTCATATTCAAAATTTTGACTAACTATCTATATTTGTTGGAAATTATCTATAGTATAAAAATGATATAAAAATATTCTTTATTATAAGTACTTTCATAAAAGTATAAACTTTATAACTTCCATAATATATATTATACTAATTGAAATCATGATCCAAATTTTAAGATTTGACTATACATTTTGGGACAAATTAAAGGTAATACATTACATCGGTACAAAAATAATTCTTTATACAAAGTTTGAGATATTTAAATTACTAACACAATTTTTTATACAAAGTTTGAGTTATGCTTATTATTTTTTCCAAAAAAATACTCCCTCCGTTCTTTTTTAGTTGCAACATTCCTTTTTTCACGCTTGCCGATGCACAATTTTGACCGTCATTATATTTTATTCTCTATTTCTAAAAAACTTTTAAAAATTAGATTATGAAATTTTGTAATGAGATGAATTTAACAATATTTTTCAAAAAAAATAATTTACACACATTAATAAATTAAATGTAGTCAAAATAGAGTACATGAATAGTGTGACTATCAATTTATATTTTTACTCCGTTCAGCGAGGCAACTTTGACGCGATCAAACGGGCAATCAAATGACACTACTATAAATTCACACAACGTAATCCAGTGAACTAACTTAAGTTATCATACGAAAAAAGCAAAAAAAAAAAATGTCGTCATCTCCATTAATTTCTGCTTCCTCAACACTTGATCCATCTCCCGCCGACACTGTGCCGATCACAGATATTCCGGGCAGCTACGGCCTCCCCTTTCTGGGCCCCATCTTTGACCGCTACGATTACTACTACAACCAAGGCGAGGTTCAGTTCTTCCAAAGCCGGAAGGACAAGTACCAGTCAACGGTGTTCCGGAGCAATATGCCGCCGGGACCGTTCATGGCCGGAAACTCAAGAGTCATCGTACTCCTCGACAACGCCAGCTTCCCCGTCCTCTTCGACGTCTCCAAGGTCGAGAAGAGAGACGTTTTCGAGGGCACTTACATGGCTTCCACCAAGTTCACCGGCGGCCACCGGATGTGCGCCTTTCTTGACCCGTCGGAGCCCAAGCACGCCGCCTTGAAAGGGTTCTTCCTATCCACGTTGGCGAAGCTAAAGAACAAGGTTTCCTTAAAAACGTTTTGAAATTCCAACATAGGTCCCTTCTATAAAAAAATAAGTCCATTCTTATTCTCTAGATAGGAATAATTTCTGTCAAATTTGAAAAAAAAAACTTGAGATAAAGTGTCATGTCTAAAGCCTGATAATGTCAAACTTAGTTTAAAATTACTCTTATTTAGAGAATAAAAACTTTACGGTTCTATTTTGGAATTCCAAAACTTTTTATTATTATTAGAAATAATTACATAAATATGATCAAAATAAAGATGATTTACAAAAATATGACTACTGACTAGAGTAGTAATGAAATCATAGTAATTCATGTTCAAGTTTTGAGCTTAAGTTACCACAACACCACATTGTAGTAATGAATAGTCATATTTATGTAAATACGTTTTATTTTAGTAATATTCTTGTAAAAAACCCTTATTATTAAGAGAATTTTCCATTGGAAATATGATGAAATGCATCAAATTTTTACTCCTAAGAAATTAGTTGCTTTAAAAAAAATAGAAAAAATTACACAAATATTAGTAATTTGTATCTCTAACAAAAGTATTTCTACCAATTGAAATAACATGGTGATTTCCTTACAATTACTCCTAGGCTGCACTATAGTTAGTCACTTTTTTGTAAACACAAATATGATTGATAATATTTATGTAAAAAACTCCTTAAAATATGAATTGGAAAAGGCTTAAACACATCAAATTTTATTTGTATTTGCCTTTGGTGGCTTGTCCTATAATTTGTGATTTAATTTGAGATTTTATCTTACTAAATTCACGGATTTAAATACGGAGTATCATTTTTCTAACAGGTTATCCCACAGTTCACCGCCGTTTACTCCGGTCTCTTCACTGACTTGGAAGAGCAGGTCAAAGTCAACGGCCGGTCCAGTTTCAACGACCTCAACGATAACAGAGCGGTGGAGTACTTATTCCGGCTTTACTGCGACGGGAAAAGCCCCGCCGCCACCAAGCTCGGCGGCGCCGGCAATAAGAGCTTCGATACGTGGCTCGTTCCTCAGCTGGCGCCGCTCATGACGCTGGGAATAAAATGGGTTCCCAACTTCGTGGAGGATTTAGCCCTCCACACTTTCCCTATTCCGTTCTGTATCGTGAAGTCGGCGTACGATAAGATATACGACTCGTTTTATGAAAACATGGAACGGATTATCCTGGACGACGCCGAGAAAGCCGGGGTTGAGAGGGAAGAGGCGGTTCATAACGTTATTTTCGTCATCGGCTTCAACTCATACGGCGGCTTCAAAGTCTTCTTTCCGGCGCTGTTCAAGTGGGTTGGAGCGGCCGGAGCTGGCTTGCACAAACAGTTGGCTAGTGAGGTCAGAAGGGTCGTTGACCAAGAAGGTAATGCCATATATTGTAATGGCTTCTCAGCTACATGTATTTTTTTGGGCTCACTATTCACAATTCACACTAATTAAACATAATTGAAGTCTAATAGACGTCCCATAAAACTTGTCCATTTTGACTTTTCTTAATCAAAGATGGTTAAGTTTGATCAATGATATTTTTTAATATGAAATTATTTCAAAAATAAAAATTATATGAACATTTTCTTTGTTAAAAAAAATCATAAAAGTATAAAAGTTATAAGTTTCATACAAATATGTTGTTCAAACTTTTTTATCCTCAACCAAGAAAAATCAAATTGACTGAGTTTTGTGGGACGTAGGGAGTACTACGTACTCGTAGTGTTATATTATTTGATCTCTCCCATAAAAAATGTCCAATAATTTGTAAATAATAAGTTAGAAATTGAGTGATTAAAATTTGTATAAGAGATGGGAAATAATAAAATAATGGAATTTTATCAGTTCAGGACCCGAAAAATAGACAAATTACCAATCCGGGACCTGAAAGATAAATTTTTGATTTATAGGTTTGAATGCTGAAAAAATATCGATCTAGAGCCTAACATTTAATAGGTTTTGATTTATTTAATATTTTATTAATTCCATTACTAATTTTTGATAAACTTTTATTCACAAAAGTTTATTACGTAGTTTAATAAAACTAAATACTATTTAAAAAAATTTAAAAAAATACAATTTACGACAACTTAGGTTCTAGATTGATAGTTTTCAATCATTCAGGTCCTAAATTGATAGTTTTTCATCATTCGGGTCTTGTATCGATGCATTTAATCTTTCACGTCCTGGATTGATAATTCGTTTATCTTTCAGGTTCTGAATGGATAAAATGTCTATAATAGTATAGGTGTACATGTGTTACATTAAAAGAAAATAATGATTTTCTTGAAACGATTAAATTAGTGAAGTTGACAAATAAAGCTTTTTAAACGAATTGAATCTTACTATATATATAAAGAGCCAATGATGGTTAGTTGGGTCTGTTCCGTTAAAATAGTATTGGACGGAAGATCGGTTTTGCAAAGGGAAGTTAACAGTTTTTTTTCCGTTTCATGCCCGCGGCTTCACTCGCTTTTGTGGACAGGGGAGGTTTGGCACTGTTTCCTGCTTTTTGAATCTGCGGAGGAGCTTTACCCAGCGATATAATCTCGCCCTCGTCAGCTTGGTTATCCTCACGCGAAGCTCTCTCACTCCTTCTTCCTGCTCCAGCTCTCTACGCTCAGTTTTCCTCAGAATTGTGAGTTATCTCCCTTCCTTTCGGTTCTCTCTGCGCTTGTGAGTTACCTTCTTTACTTCCTTTTGTGTTCTCTTTGGCCATGAACGTTCGGGGGTTGTGTGGGTTTTTTTGTGTACTTTGAAGTGCGCCATTACACGGCTCTGATGGAGAGTCGTTATTTATTTGTTCCTGGTGGCTTTGCTGAAGCTTTTTCCCCCTGTTACGCTGTTTGGTGCTGGGTTAGAGTATGTGGTGCGGGTTAGAGCATGTGGTGTGTGATGGTGGGACTTTGTGTGAGAGTTGTTTGTGTGTGGTGGAGGGTTTACATGCGCGGATGTGGTCTGTCAGTCGTTATGGAGTTTTATGTTCCTTTTGTTCAGTTTGAATTCCTGTTGTGGCACTTCTTGTTCATGGTGCTGTTATTGGGTGGTGGAATGTCATGCCAAAGTGCATTGTTTGGTGTGTTGTTGCATGTTTAGTGTAAATGAAAAGTTGTGGTTGTTTTATTCTGTGCAGGCAGGGTGTTGTTCTGTCGTGTGTTGTGGGGGTGTGTTGTTCTTCTTGATAAGAATGTTGACTTGCGATTTCTTTGATGTGTTCCCAGGTGTCTAGGAGGTTCATTCTGCAATTACAACTCCTGCTTTGTGATTCTTGTAAGGGTTTAATTGTTCTGCTCTGGAGTTATTTATTTATGTGTTGTCGGCTGTGTTTGATTGTATGGTTGCTCTGTTGTGCGGTGCTTTTGTTTACTCTGTGTGTTTTGTTCGGTTTTCCATTTACTAGTAGTTTTGTTCGTGCTTTGAATCTCTGTGGTATATGTGATCTGGTTTGTTTATGCGCTGCCATCGCTCTTGAATTTGTGTCTGTGTGTGGCAGTTTGATTGACTATTGTTAAGGTGGGTGTTCCCATTATTGTTTTATAGTAGTGATCCTTAGAGGTTATTTGTTTTGTCACGGGTGAGTAGCACATTTGTCAATGCCCAACCGACGTGGGTTTGGCAGCATTGTGTCCCCGGATGAGCAGCGAGACCGTCGTAATAAGCGTCGACGCTCAGTCAGGCAGGCCATGAAGGTGGCCGCGCGGAACATGGAATCATCACTTCCAGTTCATGGTGCCGGTTGTGATTCTGTTCTTCCAGGTTTGTGTTTTGTTGGATACCGTCAGCTTTCGTGTATTGCACTCGAACTGAATCTGTAAAGATCTCTGACGTTTCTTCCTTTTCTGTGGTTTCAAAAACAAACCAAAACTTGTTACCCGCCTTTATAACTAAACTTACTTCCCTTGCATTGTCACTCCACCTTTTATAACTTTGCTTGCTTCCCTTGCATCGTTGCTACACCTCTTGTAACTTTACTTGCTTCACCTACATCGTTACGCCACCTTTTATAACTTTGCTTGCTTCCCTTACGTCGTTGCTCCTGCGCGATTTGTATTCATAATATATGTCAACCTTGAATTAATGACCGTGAATTGTAACGAATGTTTCTTGTCCCCTCAAATCCCTGAACACTCAATTGGCTGTGTGCTGGTGTCTGTGGCATGTTGTGTTGCGTATGATCACATGACATATGCTGGCGCCCACTGCTGGGGTGCATGTTTTGCACGGTTTTGTCATGTGTACTGGGCTGCATAATTCCTTGGCTGCCCTAAATGTTCTTTGCGCTTGCCTGGCTTTGTTTCGTCCTGTGGTTTGAACTTGGCGGGTGGCAGGCAGTCGTGCCCACTTGGACCCTGCAGGGGAAGGCACTTCTGCACCAATTTCCGGGCGTGAACCTTACAGACTGAAACCTGTGCCTGACTGTTTGTTCTGCGGCGCTGAACGTGTTCAGTATGAACATCCTACCATGTGTTGCAGTCGAGGTGAGGTTGTTCTCGCCTCTACTGAAATGCCCTCTCAATTGCGCCAATTATTCACTGCGCGCGATCCTTTGTCCAAGCACTTTCAGGCCTGCGTGCGGACATACAACAACACCTTCGCATTCACATCGATAGGGATCTATAATTACGACAAGCAGCTCTGTCGTCGGAACCAGGGAATATATACATTCAGAGTCCAGGGTCAGATATACCACTTCATCAACAACTTACTTCCTGATGGTTGTCCCCCCCGAAACTTGCAGTTGTACTTCTATGACACAGAATATGCTGTCAAAAACAGGTTGGAGGGTACTGCCCATCTGGATAAAGAAGTTGTAACGGTGTTGATGGATGTGCTTTCAGGGAACCCATATTCACAATTTTTCAAGACATTGGCTGATGTAGATCAGTCTGATGAATTTTCCATCGTGTTGAACGGAAATCCTTCTCTTGATCAGCGAATTTACAATCGCCCAACATCATCCCAAGTTGCCGCTGTGTGGGTTGAGGATGAGTACGACGGCTTGGCTTCTAACAGAAATATTCGTGTGTATGCTCACAGTGGCAGGTCTCAGAACATTCATTATTACTATGGATGTTATGACCCGTTGCAGTATCCTTTGTTGTTTCCTCTTGGTGAAGTGGGCTGGCATGAAGGGATTCCAAAGGCTGCTGCAGGCAGGCCCGCGGGTGTTCTGCAATCTCTGCCCTCTGTCTCTATAAGCTGCAGCCAATTTGAGACGGATGCTGCTTTAATTGCGGGTGAAGAGAACCTGAGGAGCGAGGGGAAGAAGAGGCAATCTGTCTCGTGTAGAGAATATTACGCATATAAGCTCCAAATGCGTCACCAAAACACTTCGTTCATCCTGCATACAGGTCGGTTGTTTCAGCAGTATATTGTAGACCTTTACATAAAAATAGAAACCCAGCGTCTGGATTATTATCGTAGTAAGCAGTGTGAATTCCGTTCTGACACATACCAGGGATTAGTGGACAGCGTTAGCACAGGTGTGCAAAATACTAGCGAAGTTGGTCGTCGCGTGATCCTACCTGGGTCGTTCATAGGTGGCCCACGCGACATGCGTGGTCGTTACATGGACGCGATGGCCCTTGTGCAGAATTTTGGTAAACTTGACTTGTTCATAACCATCACATGCAATCCTAATTGGCCTGAGATCAAAGAGCGGTTATCCTTCGCGGACGAAGTCCAGAATCGACCAGAGCTCGTTGCCCGCATATTCCGCGCCCGGCTGGAAGATTTCAAAAAAGACATAATCAAGGGGTCTCTGTTTGGCAAGGTGGTTGCGTACACCTATGTCATTGAGTTCCAAAAGAGGGGCCTCCCCCATGCTCATTTCCTTCTTATCCTGGCACACCCGTGCAAGATCACTACCACTGCTCGCTGTGATCAGCTCATCAGTGCTGAAATACCAGATTCTGAAAAAGATCCTGAATTGTATCGTCTGGTTAAGAAACATATGATCCATGGCCCGTGTGGTCACATGAACCTGAAATGTCCGTGCATGGTCCTGCCGCGTGGCTCACTCAAAGCTTCATGCAGGAGCAAGTATCCCCGTGCCATTGCTGCCACAACGAGCTTTGATGACAACTGTTTTCCTGCTTATAGGAGACGAGCTTCAGGTGTGACTGTTCAGGTGAACAAGCATACTCTTGATAACCAGTGGGTTGTCCCCTATAATGCGCAACTGTTGAGAAAATTCGATTGCCACATAAATGTGGAAGTCTGTGCAAGTGTCAAATCAGTTAAATACATATATAAATATGTGTATAAAGGGCATGATAGAGTCAGCATGTCCCTGTCTGGGGTAGGCGGGGGTGAAATCGTGGATGAAATATCTAATTTCCAAAAAAGCGCGTTGGGTTTCGCCCCCCGAGGCTGCGTGGCGCATCTTCGGCTTTTCTATTTCCGAGATGAAGCCTGCTGTTTTACAGTTGCAGGTTCACTTGGAAAATTCGCAGTATCTTACCTTTTACGGAGACCAGCGGATCACTTACGTAACTGAGGCAGCTAACTCAAATAAAACTATGTTGACCCAGTTTTTCGCCATGAATGCATCCAATCAAGTTGCAAAAACTTTAAAACTCTTGTATGTTGAATTCCCACATTATTTTGTTTGGAATGCGCAAAAAAAAGAATGGACCCAACGTAAGAAGAAGGAAGTCCTTGGCAGACTTGTTTCTGTCAATCCTTTCGAAGGGGATCGCTATTACCTCCGCCTCCTACTCTCAAATGTGCGAGCACCAAAATCATTTTCAGATCTTAAGAGTGTTAATGGCCATGTGGCTCCCACATTCAGATCTGCAGCTGAGCAGCGTGGGCTGCTGGCAGGGGACTTTGTCGTTCGCGCGTCACTTGATGAGGCGGTATTATTCCAGTTACCTTCCAGTCTGCGCAAACTGTTTGCTACACACCTCTGTTTTTCAGCAGTCCCCAATCCTCGCGGCCTTTGGGCTGATTACAAACCCCATTTGTGTGAAGACATAGGGAGGTCCCAATCATGCGCAGTGGCAGAAAAGACAGTATTGTCGTTGTTGCGTGACTTGTTTGCTGCAATGGGGAAAGATATCAACTCATTTTGTTTGGTTGACTCAGACTTGGATACTGCTGAGGACGATGGAACCGCCCGTGAAATACTTGCCGAACGTGGTATACAGGTAAGTGAGGCGGACCTGGACAGTATATCTTTCTTAAACACTCAGCAAAAACACGCATTTGACACTATAATGGAAGCAGTCCATTCTTGCCGTGGGACTGTTTTCTTTGTTGATGGCCCAGGTGGTACTGGTAAGAGTTTCTTGTACCGGTCCTTGTTGGCCGCCACACGGATGAACAAATGGATAGCGCTTGCAACTGCAAGTTCGGGCATCGCTGCATCCATCTTGCCCGGTGGGCGTACTGCACATTCACGGTTTAAATTGCCTCTTGATGGTGAGTCAAAATATATATGCAACATTAGCAAACAATCAGCAGAGGCCAAGCTCCTTAGAGCTGCACGCCTAATCTTGTGGGATGAAGCATCAATGGCAAATCGCAGGATTGTTGAAAGTCTTGATACAACATTAAGAGACATCCTTGGCGTAGATTCCCTTTTCGGGGGCAAGGTTATGGTCTTCGGGGGTGACTTTAGACAAACTTTACCAGTGGTCCGTTCTGGCACAAGGACAGATTTTGTAGATGCGTGTCTGTTAAAATCAGTAATAATATGGCCTCATGTCCACCGCCTGCGTTTGATAAAAAACATGCGGGCACATGAAGATCCTGCCTTTTGTGACTATTTGATGCGCGTTGGCAATGGAACTGAAACCCCCGTCGCAGGTGACAAGATAAAGATCCCCGCCAACTTTATCTTACCCTGGATTGATGAAACCGCATCCCTGGAATTGCTTTTTTCAGCGGTCTACCCAGACTTGCACTTGTTTGAAACTGACCCTTACGCTTTGATGTCACGTGCCATACTCACCACAAAAAATGACATTGTAAACTTCATCAATTCATCGTTGATAGCTAAGTTTCCTGGAGAAGAACACATATATCTTAGCTATGATACCCCAATTGAGCCTAAATATATGCACTGTGAAGATTACCTGCACACCTTATCCCCTGCTGGTTTGCCCCCCCACAGGTTAACTTTAAAACCTAATTGTCCTGTGATGTTATTGCGAAATCTGAATCCATGTGAGGGCCTATGCAACGGGACCAGGCTAATATGCGATGCATTCGGAGATCATGTCTTGAGTTGCTTCATTGCCGCCGGTGATCACAAGGGAAAACATGTGTTCATCCCTAAGATTCCTTTGGAAGTCTCAAAAGATGAACACTGTTCTATGCCTTTCAAGCGCACACAGTTCCCTATCAAAGTCTGTTTTGCCATGACAATAAATAAGTCCCAGGGGCAGACGCTGGATTTCGTTGGTATATATTTAAAAGAACCAGTCTTTTCTCATGGACAGCTCTACGTTGCAATGTCAAGGGCCAAAAATGCAGATTCCATAAAAATTGTGATTTGTCCAGATGAACAGGGGCCAGTTGTTGCGAATAGCACAAGCAATATTGTTTTTGCTGAAATTGTGCCTTTCATTAACTAGAGGTCACCTGATGCTTGTGTTATGTTTGTTATTTTTGAGTTCAATCTGTCCTTGTATTGATTTGGTTTTTACCCATTCCGTTTCCCTTGTCATTTGCAGAGTGTTGCTGGTATGGCAGCTGAAATGTTGCTTTTGGATGTGAAGCCAGAAACCCAAAGGTGGACATGCCGCCTTACTGTCATTGAGAAACAGAATGTCCGCTCAGCAAAAAATTCTCCATGCAAGTTTATGCCAATAGTCCTGTTGGACTCTGCCGTGAGTTACCCCTTGAAACATACTGAATTATTATTTACCATCTGTGTCCACATCCTTTATTATGCATTTACATCTCTCTTTTGAATAGGGGACAAAGGTGAAAGCAACTGCATTCGAGGGCGACATTGAAGGGATAGATAAGCGGCTCACATTATACTCTACATATCTCATCTCAAATGCTTATGTGAAGCCCCTAACGGAACTCCGCTATTGTGTTGATGAGTCTTATAAGTATGTTTGGTCTTTCACAAGACGGACTATGATCCAGGATGTTGACGCGGAAGAAGGAAATGATGCCCGAGAACAGGCCGAGGCAGACACTAAACAGTTCTGGGAGCTTTACACTTGTTACTTGACTGATGAAAAAATAAGTAAGCAGTGCGATGCCTTTCTCCTGCGAATATCTTTGGTGATCATGTCAGGCGTTGTTGCCATTGATGGGGATTAACTTGCTTTCCTGTATTTGTAGGTATTCTTGCTGCAATTGTTGCGAAACTACCTCGTGCCTTCATAGTCACGGATGATGGGCAGAAGGTCGCTTGGGACGTGGTTGTTGTTGATGAAGAGTATGCTTTGCAACTTTTCCTTATATCTTTGTTCCTGTCCTAATTCTAAGCCAGCAGGAATCATATCACCCAGTGTTTTTCACAGCTGTACACCATTGCCGCTCACAATGTGGGGAGATTTTGTTGTTCGACACGGGAGTGAAATTGAAAAGCGGCTGAGTGGAGGGGAATGCCCCCTTGTCCTCATTAGCAAAGTGGCTATCAACCTTTTCCAAGGTTGAATCCTGCCTGTGTGCATTTGAGCCATATTTTCTCAAAAATGTTTTGTTCACATATATTTCGTGTTTGCAGGCTTAACCCTTTCTACGCGGTTCGACAGCCACATGGTGCTTGACCCAACTGGGGAGCGCGCCTTGCTTCTGAAAAAATGGTGGGCTTACTCTTGTCTTGACAACTGTATGTTATTTAGTTATTCATGGAAATAACTGACTCTTATATAATTGCACAGGGTTGCTGCCAATGCAGCGAAAATAGAATTGATGGTGGTTGACAAGAAGTATGAGCATGCATTGCGTGCTATTGCTTGTCCTGCCTCACAGCCACGTACAACTATTTCGTGTGTAGAAACTCAGCTGAATACGGTCAGTCTTGCTCTTTCTGATTCTCGGTACTCTTCCATGCACAGTTTTGACACCGCCTGCAAAAACCTGTGTTCTGCATTAAATGGTCATTCTATTACACTTTCATGTGTGGGCTTTAACGTATGTTTTGCCAACAGATCCCGATTGTGTGGGTGTATGGGAAGCTCAACTTTGCTGACACTTCAGGGGATGGTTCGTATGTGGGTTGTGATTATTGTAATCGAAGGGTGCATGGCATTGATGGCGTGACATTCGAGTGCTTGTTCTGTGGCCAGAAACAAGGCACCAGTGTTAAACGGTATGAAGCTCACGCCTCAACAACATATTGATTAATAAATTAAATGCTAACTGGGTGAATGTTTATGCAGTTATGTTTGCAGTGCGACCTTGTCTGATTCTAGCGGCTGCATTCCTGTTACTCTCTTCACAAGTGACATTTTACACTTGATGGAAATTGTTTCAATGGATCCCAACGTCGAGCTGGATCTGGAAGCTTTGGATGCAAAGCTCCAATCAGCACCGATAATTGCAGGTGTGAGGCGCTCAAAGAGCAGCGAAGGTGGTCTCCAAAAAAACCCTTACAGCATTGTGCTTGTCTCCAATGGAAAGGCGCCCCCAGCGCCTGCTGCAGCAAGAACTGCCACTTCATCAGCTGCTGCACCTGAAGTTGCGTTGGATGCTGCTTCTGCTCGCAAAAGAAAGCTGGACTTTAAATCAGCCGAAGATGTTCACTATGCTGCTCCCACTGCTGCTGCTAAAGACACCTTACCCACCGAAACTACCGAGAAGGAGCCCCTTTCGAACGTTCGCCAGAGGAAGCGCAAACCTGCGACCGGTTAACGGCCACATCGAACCACTTTTTGGCAGATCTTTTGCAACCGTTGGAACATCTTGGTTTGGCTGTAAATTATGAACACTACTTTTTGGACAACCTCCTAGGCTAATTAGCAGATTAGATGGATTATGCTGATTTAGCTCATTACTGAACATGTCCAGCAACCTTTTTGTTTTTTGCTCATCTAGGGTCATTAACCGTTGTTGTGTACATATCAACTAGTGACCATGTTCGGTTTAAATGTGCCTTACTCACACTGTATATATGCCACCATGAAAGTAATGTCATGTTGTCTGCTTTCCTTATTTTGCGGAAAGAGCATTTGCTGAGACCAGAAAGGTATAAGGGATTTGTTTGTCGTTATGCTGTATGTTCGTGATTAACTAAGAACAGTGGCGGAACTAGAGGGGGTCGAGTCGGTGCTGCCGCCACCCGTTCGGTGGAGATTGTAGTGTATATATATGCGTGTGTATATGTCCAGCCCCGTCTCTACAGCTATTATAAATATTATCTGACCCGTAATTCACCTAACAGTTAGAACAACACAGATGGTCGGAGGCCTTACATATTTGGACTATGGCCGGGTTCGGTTCACGCTGGGGCCTTTTTTTAATTAATACGTAGGATCTACGTATGATACTTCCTACAGGGCCACTCTGGATTTGGGATATTATTAGTTTTACTTTTTTTGAACTACCACACTAGATTTCTCTTACTTTTGTGCTACACTTTTATTGTTTCAGTTTACTTTTTTCAAAATTAACATGTTATTTGCATTTCCTGTTTTGTACAATACTACGGAGTACTAAAAAATATCCTTTGAATATTTTCTCTCTTCAAACATTGACCTATATCATTTTATGAAGAGTTTACCTATATCCTTGGTTTAGTACAAAGATGCCAAAATATCTTGTTGTTATTTGATATATCTAACTTTATAGAGTACAATTAGATTTATGTAATTCATTTGCAAAAACAAAACAAATATCCTTTCAAAAAACAGATAAAGGACAAGCGTATGAAATCGAAGTAAACTCGTTTGATGAATGAAGACTGTTATTTTGTTTACGCACTAACAAAAAACAATACAATAATGAATATTGTCTATATTTAATTTGATATGTATATATATGTGTGCACTTGTCTGTGAATCGTATACTGGTTCGATTTTTTAAACACCCCCCCTCAAATTTTGTCCTGGTTCCGTCACGGACTAAACATATACTCTATGGAAACATCAATGTTATGGTTATTTTCCTTGCTTTGCGCTTGCAGACTACAGTTACTGTAAACATTGTTTTAAAAAAAAAAACCTGTGTTTTTCTTAAATTCATTAGCCGGGTTTATTAAAATACGTCTAACTTGTTGGCTTCCCCTAAACCTTCAAATGTAATTAAAATACGCCTAACTTGATAAAATTATTTTTAGTACCATGTTCATGTACATGGGATTATTTTTAATGGTTAATGAAAATGTATAGTATTGCTTGGATTATTTAAAAAAAAAACATAAACACCACAATTTTGCAGAACAGGGGCAGTGTTATTTATTTTACGTTGAACTTTTAGAATAACCACTCTCCTTGTGTGTACAAAACAAATTTAAAAGTGGTAATTTGAACAAATATGTCTCAGAACACACCCAATTGTAAAAATTGATATAAATATAAAAACTCTGCCGTCCGCTTTCATTTTAACTCCGTACCATCTGTCGTCCCTCTGTCTTCCTCTCTGCTATCCGCCGAGTACCGCGCTAGAGGCCAAAGAACTCGACCCCTCTCCTTCTTCCGTCCTGCCTCCCAGGTAACTTCTCCACAAAACTCTCACAACCTCCCTGATTGTTAATGCAGGGGCACTCGATCATCAGCCATGCATCATCTTGAGGTGTTTATTTTTTGTGTTTTAGTGTAGTTAACGGTTTGTATACTTTTTTAGTTGTGTCCTTTGTCTTCCTCTGCTTTCGTGAACCACTTGTAGTGAATAAGTCTGTGCCCTTCGCATCATTTATTTTGCAGCTCTTTTGTTGTGCTATGTTTTTTTTTGTTTTTCATTGATTATTTGGACTTGTATTTGTTTATTGTGTACAGCTTTATGGATTTGCTAATGTATTGTGTCGTCCAATCTGCTAAAGATGCATGTGGGAAGGAAACCCTCACATACTATGTCAACACAGTCCATGGGCGTAGGATTGTTGCTGCCGTGCTTACCCGCACCAGTGAAGGGGAATATGAATGTACTACGGGTGCAGATTGGAAGCACTTTTTGATGGCTACTGGCTACTTCAAGCGTATGCCAAAACGTTTCCGAACCAAAGCTGAAGTTGAGCACAAACTCGGCCATTTTATACGCAGGGGTACCTCCATGCCCTTGATCATAGGTTGTTTCTTTGAGATGATTTGTTGTGCCCTATTTCCCAGTCTTTATTGAAACAAAACTCCTCATGCCATCTGTGTTCATTTTGTCTTGTATTTAATTGATGTTGTTTGACCTTTATAGCGTGTCCAAAGACTAATTCGGTTCATTTCCCGGATGTAATGCAATTCACGATTGTTTGGTTTCTCTTCAAAGCCACTGATCTTGAATTTGCTGTATGCTTTCTTTATTCCTTTTCCTGTTACTTATTTTAACTATTTCCCTTTACTTTAACACAATGACTATCTACTTTGCATTTCTATTGTCAGAAAATCCCTGTATGCATGCATCGACATCTGTTTGAGCATGCCAAGCTCTACGCTCGTCTGATTTATGGTGCTGCAACCTGGACAGTCAAGGTTGAAGACTTCTCTTTCACAGATGGCTTTCCTGAGTTTCTGATAGAAAATAATGTTGAATGCGGCACATACATGCTCCTCCGACACATTGGCAACTTCACATTTCAAGTGCTGATGTTTGATGACCTAGGGTTCTCTTTGAACCTTGCTGGACCACCAAGTGGGTCTTCCATCACGTCAGATAAGCCAGGTGCATTCACCACATTGTTCTTTTCCTTTTGTATACAAACTAATGCACATAGTATTTATTGATTGGCTGCCACTCACTGAACATATCTAAGGTTTGCCTGGTTGGAATGCACTGCATATTTGAGTTATTTATGTATGATGAACATAATAATTGCAGATGATTTCATGGTCTACGTGGAGTCCTGTGTTCCGGATTGCACATACAGGCAGCTGTACCTACCTGCATCTTTTCTGTATGTACGCGGCCAGACATCTAAGGTACATGTACTTTTCCATTACTTGGTGGCTTTATAGTGTTGTTTTTCACTCTTGTATAGTTAAGTTTTTTTAATTACTTAGCCTAACTAAGAGCAAAATGGAACTAACAACAGCTTTATCAATCAATACATATGTTTTTTGAAAAATGGAAAATAACCATTACACTTTCTTTGCCTTTCCTGCTTAAATCATGTACACCCATACTTGCTTGCAAAGTAACGCACCACATTCATTGTTCTCCTTGAAAATCCTTAAACTGTGTTCTTCATATTCAATGCAGAAATGCTGTGAAGCGTTTTTAAGGTCATGTACGAACATGAGGGGCACTCTGCAAGTGCACTTTGGCAAGGAGGATGCATGTTTTGGAATTGCGAGAGAACGGATGTTGCGCGATATTCAGGTGACCTTTGGGCTCAAACGCCGGTGCGCCCTAGCCTTTGTTAAGTATGGCCGTGGGATGGCAATGCTAATCGCCATTTCAACATGTGGGATTGAAGAACCCCCTAGCCGCGCAAAAAAATATGACATCTCCAGCCCTGTATTCTGCAACGACTCTGGCCCTTCCTCGTGATTGTTGATCAAACTGTTGCTCTTTTGGTTAAATGGTTGTAGGTGGATGTGAATGAATGTTCTGTGGGTCCCATTTTTTGTCATGCCGCTCAAACTAGACTTTGAATTAGAACAGTGATGGTTGTGATGCTCATTGACTGTTACTTGTATGATTACACATTGAACCCCTTTTTTGCTATGTTAGTATGCATTAATGCAAATTTCTCGTTTTTCCATCTTTGGGCACCTTCCGTCGCGCAACGCGCGCGCCCAAGCTAGTACTGTTTATATACTCCGTATAAAATAGTACTCCGTAAAATACACATAATACTAGATCACTTCAAGTACTCGCACTAAAGCTAGACCATACTCGTACTAAACACAGCGTAGAAAGTTTAAACTATAAACTGGATCCCACTCGGAGGTGAGATTATAGTCTCAAGACTCTCAACCAAATCATATTTGTAGTAGTGTTTATTAGTATTACAAACGGCATTTATCTGGGTAATTAAGGAAGTTAATTTCATAAATATTATTATAATACTTAGAACTTATGAACACGCTAATTACCTAGTGGCCTGATGACAATCAAGAATGTTGTCATTAACAAGAGCAAATACTAAAATAGGTTTAGAAAAATATTTCAAAAAAAAACTTATGAACATAAACAATAAATGTGGCTAAAGTTATTTTCATGACACCACCACAGTCACTATAATGCAAAAATAAACATAGTCATAATACAACTATACCAATAAAGTTACTATTTTAGTCACTGAAATATAAAAAAACACATTTTTATTCATGTGCTACCTTTATTCTAAGAAAAAATAACTTTAAATAATACTCTGTGATACATAGAACGTACTTTGGAGAAATCATGTACTTTAAATATAAGTATATACTGTAACAACTATTTGGGTATATAACCATAGTAACAAAATAAACAAATAATTTCTCCTAGAAGTTTTTATTCTTTTGTTAAGACTAAATAAATCTTACCTAGGGAGAAAATATACTTATTTCTATTTTAGAATTTTGCATATATACTTTACTCCTATTTTGAACCGTTTGTTTCATAGATAATTAGTAAATATATGTGTGCGTAGGACTCATTTTTTTTTCTACTAAAAACAATAAAAATATATAAATTAAAACTCATTCTTAAAAATGAATGAGTCATATTTTGAAAATAAAAATATTAGTAATTTACTTGAAGAAATGTGTTATATTTATATACTAACATATACTCCGTAGTTCATATACGGAGTAATACATTATTTTCTGTTGTATAGTTCATATTAATCATCCCGTGGGCACCCATTACATGTTGAGTACCACCGATAGATATCTTTTGATATTGCACCGCCTCTCAATCTCTCATATATATCATAATAGTCGGACAAATTTAGATTTTGGAAGAGCTAGTGATTTTAGAGAAAAATTATGAGGTAAGATGTCATTAGATTATGATTCAATTTTTTGATGGGGTTCAGGACCGTCTAATGAATTTGGAGGCCCATGTTCAAAATACAAATTTGAAGTCCGACGTTAATATAAAAACTAAAACATATGTGCGATGTAAATTCTTATTATACTCAAATCAATTGAATACTCAATAAATAATATAATCAAATAATTACATGTAGTAATTTTCCTCTTTCAAATAATTAATCTCTACACTTTTTGCAAAGTGTTTCAATTTATGAGTGCATTTTTATACAGAGTAGTAGAGTATGAATTTAGTTGCAACTCATATTCATATACGATAACATACAATATTATATTATATTATATTATATTATATTATATAATTAATTAATTAATTAATATTAGTGGCCTAAAAATAATATTAGTAGCGTCTTATAAATATTGGGGCTCCATGGAAAATGGGACTCTGTTCGGTCGAACCTAATTAATATGCTAAAAACGGTTCTGATGAGATTTCTAAAAAAATGAATGATGATGCTTTCTTAATCCATACTCCCTCCGTAACATTTATATCTTCTCACTTTCCTTTTTTGGATGTAACATTCATATCTTCCCATTTCATAATCTTCCAATCATACCCTCAATAATTTTAAAAATAATACACTATTACACCTACTTTGTTTGGATTTATCCTTCATTCCAACATATTATTTCACTATCTTCCCATCATACCCTCAATAATTTATATCCCCTTTCACTATTCTTAATCTACCTACTTTTCAAATGGGAACATATATATGTTACGGAGGGAGTATAACTCTACAAGTCATACTTCGCCTCATTAATTTTGTGGATTTGGAAATGCTAGCTACGAGCCTACAAATAACGCAACCAGGAAGTCATCAAGAAATTTCATCGAAATAATGTCTTGGAAAACCACCGTCATTGACTCATTGTCCCGCCCCTTGATACCACATGAATCCGACTATACCATAAAAAAATAGCCTATTACATTTACATCAAATGATCAAATCTATCTTTAAGCATTGACTAATGGGCTCTAGTACGTAAATTACTGGCTATATTATTATCTAGCCAAAAATTGTGAAGAATCCGTGGAAATTCATCCAAAAATATCCACTCAGATTGGAGTTGGAATTAATTACTTGACTTTCTAACACGACAATATAGGTGATGATCCTATTTAATTAAGAAAAGTCAATATTCATCGTGGACTTTAGAAACATACACAATTAACTTGCACCAAACCACAAATTGGTTTAATTTTAGGTATATTGCATTATCTAATATCTATCTCACACCGAATATAGTTATCAATAGAGTAACTATTCGTACGGCAACCTAGCTCTTTTTAACATACGATGGTACGAAGTACAAGTATTATGAAGTTGATCTTTTGTCATATTTTAATTCACTTTTTCTGAAAAAATAGCAATGTTTTAAATATATTAAACTAATTAAATAATAATACAAGCAAGTTTAATTAGGGTAAGTTCGTGGCTTCGGGCAACGATCGTATACTCTAAAATGCCCTCACAAATTGATGCATATTAAAGTTGTTTAATTGATGATGACCAGAATGACATATGGCATATAGACTGTTTAAGCAGTTTGTGGACAAGCTAATTAAACAATAAAAATGAAGAATTGAGGGTCTCGAGCAAGAGTATCTAATAACGATCAAGAGCAGAAACTATGAATATTATTGAAATGTGAATACGAATGAGGGATAAGAGTTGCTGAGTTTTTCTCATACAAAGGGTATTTCTCATAACAATATTCTTCCCAAACATGAATGTGTAGGTGTGTGTATGAAAAATAGACACACTTACACAAAAAATATACATACAAATATACAAACAAAAAAATATACAGACAAAAAAATACTCTTCCCAAACAGAATGTATAGGTGTGTGTATGAAAAATGTATACCTCAAGCTGGATTACCGTAGATTAATTACTTACTCCGTATATCTGTAGGATATGTTACAGGCTTATAACAGAAAACGTGTCATTTCCAAAAATAGCTTACGAAACATCACACATCACATTAATCACATGCACATGAAAAAACAAGTCATTTTTTCAAAATACTGTTGAGTCAACAGATTATGGCCTTATGGAGTTATGGGCTCCGCCCAAAATCATGAGAAATTGAACTGGCATGAATATGTAGCACTTGGAATAAAGTAAAATCGTGTGGTATGCACCTCACATTTACAAAGACCCAAGTAATGTTTCCCTATACTCAGGTATAGATTGAAAAAAAACGGTTTTCAGCTTATTACTTGAAAAATTGTTTTTAAGTGATAACTTTTACCTAAATTAAACACTTTAAAAGTTAAAAGTTAGAATATGTTTTTTATTTTTTCTATTACACAAAAAATACATATTTTACCAAACACTACCAATTTTACTTTTCAAAATCATTTTTTTACACACCCGACTTTTACTATTAATAAGTACTCCCTCCGTCCCCCTAAGTTTGGGACGGAGGAGTGTGGTGTGGTTTTTAAGAAAAAGTGGAATTGTGTGGTTGGTATTGAATTGATAAAGTGTAAATAAAGTAAGAATGAATTCTAACCACTCAAATGTTACCAAATATGGTATGGGACAAACTTAGTGGGACGGACGAAAAAGGTAAAACGGGACAAACTTAAGGGGACGGAGGGAGTACATTTTTGTAACATCATTTTAAAAAGTGATTTTTTAAAGCACAAAAGCAATTACAAACACACTCTAAACTGTAATAAATGGAACCCATCTAACCGGCCACAAGTGAGTTTGTCATTCATTTCATGAATCGGATCAAATCAAATCACTAAGGATGTTTTCTTTTGGACTGTTTTCAGTCCCAGACCAGATCAGACTTAACCAGACGAGACTAGACTTAAACAGACCATACCAGACCAGACCCGACTTCCGTAGTTATAAAATACACAGAGATTAGACGTTTACCAGACCAGACCAGACCAATTTAGACCAGACTAGACCAGACTTAAACAGACCAGACCAGACCAGACTTAAACAGACCAGACCAGACCAGACCAGACCAGCAAATTTCAGTCCAAAAGAAAACATCCTAAGATATTATCATTGATACTCTCATACTCCAACTAACTAATAATGATTAAATTTGACTTAAACAAACTAAGTTCATTCCGGGGTTCAATAAATTTAAGGTGGGAACTATCATTCATTTGATTAGTCAAAAACATTATATCATTTTTCTTTTTCATTTAAATATTTCAATTACATTTTTTCGACTGGTCTATGTTGACAAATGTAAGATACCACAAAATCTACTTTAATTTAATTAAACAAACCAATTGAAACTAAATACTCCATGATTAAACTAAATCTATTGAACATACTCCATATAAGAGTTGTCTTAAAAAGTATTACTCCGTATTACTCCGTATACTGTTTTATATTTTCCTACGTGAAATAAATACTTCAACAACGAAACATCCTTATACTTTATTATTTGGCCGTTTCAAATGAATACAATCCCGTTGATGGTGACCTTTTATATTTTTAAGGTGGCATGACGGCCGGAGCTTTGGAGAAAATGGCGCTGACGAAGTCGGTGGTGTGGGAGGCTCTCAGGATCGAGCCGCCGGTGGCGTTCCAGTACGGCAAGGCCAAACGGGATCTCACGGTCCGTAGTAGCGACAACAAGTCCTACTTGATAAGGAAAGGCGAAATGATATTTGGGTACCAACCCTTTGCGACGAGGGACGAGCTCGTTTTCCAGAACGCCGGCGAGTTTGTGCCGGACAGGTTCGTCGGCGACGAGGGCCAGAAACTGGTGCGGAACGTTTACTGGTCTAACGGAAGGGAGACCGACACCCCGGCGGTCAACGACAAGCAGTGTCCCGGGAAGGACTTCGTCGTCTTGCTTTCTCGCTTGCTATTGGCCCAATTCTTCCTGCGGTATGACACGTTTACCTGCGATTCGGAGAAGTTCTTGTTGGGTTCTAAGGTCACGTTCACATCGTTGACCAAGGCAACGACGTCAAAGTAGAATTTTATCAGCTGCATGTTCTTGGTGGATTGCACGTGGCAGAAGGATGGAGCTTGGTGGTAATAAACAAAGTCAACGGTTTTTAGTAATATCATGTAGTTGGATAATAGAAGTAATGCGTAGTAATAAAAAAGGGTTTTCTATCATTCTATCTTTTACCTGCACCAACTTTTGAAAGGCCAGAAAATTCCTTAAATAAAATTTAAATAAAGATTAAATAAAGATTTGCTACTGTTTTATTCTTAAAATAGAACTGATTTAATCTTATTTTGCATTACATATCAACTTTTACTACTTGTGGACTTTCATTGTACTCATCAGTTGGAACCCCATTTTATGGTACACTGTACACGTTGAGTTTTATTTAGGTTGACGATAACCCAGCTGCATTTTATTATGGACTAATTGTTCAAGATGAATTAAATGAAAAAGATACCCCGTATATAAAAGTCATTAGATATATTGAGAATAGGTTAAGTTGTTTCGGGAGGGATAATTATTACTAGTAAATAATAAAGTTGGTTAAAGAGTGAAGACTATACACGTTAGGCAATTGGGAAGAACTATCAATCTATCATACAATGTCAATGACGGAGCCCGAAATGGTAGGTTGCGCCGATTGGTTTAAACACTTAAGAACAAAACTTAAATTTTTTCTATATTTTTACTATTAATTTATAAATAAATATTTATACATAGGATTATAATCACAATTTTTTTGGGACCTAGACCATCACACTTTTTCCTGGGACCTAGTACATGCAGTAAATTTGAGCAGAGTCACGAAAAAATGGGTTAAAATTAAACCTGGCATATGATAGATAAAGAACAATTATATTTTCGGTATCTTTAATTTTATAAATCTATCTCATGTATCATTCAATTATGTATATTTTATTCTATCATGCTCATGCTTCATTTATCCCTTAAAAGTAGGTCTAAAATTATTTGTTATTTTGCAATGGATTTGGTGAAGAAAGTAGATATCAGACTGAAATAACATAAAGGAATCAAATTAAGATTTTTTAATTGTGATTCGAGAATTTCTATTTGTGATTTGCTTATGTGTTCAATATAAAAACAAACTGAATTGATAGGGATTTGCCAAAATTCATTTAGGATTTGACAGAGATATGTCAAAGTCGTGACAAAATACATTTTGGTACGAGTAATCTGACACGATATCATCAATCAATCTGTGTTAAATCCGTGTTAATCTCGTAATTTTTTTTGTATTGTTTGGAATAATCAAAGAGTGGCGAGTGGCAAGGTATTTATTAACCATTATTAGATTAATGAAATAGAATAGTTGTTTTTTTTGAAAAGGTATTTAATATATATATATATATATATATATATATATATATATATATAATTAGTCATTCTAAAAAATTATTACAGACAATGTTTCAGTTTCCAATTGGTTTAACACCTCCACAATTGAGTTCAGAGAGGACGACGAGATGATTTCACAATTTAGTGACAGGTCATAACAAATATTTTATTTTACATGTATAACGTAACTCACTTTTGTGTATACACAGATCATCCATTGATTTTTGTATTAACTAGTATAGTACCCGTGCATACGCACGGGAGAGAACAGTTGGTGCATCTATTTTTATCATCAAATTAAATACGAAAATGAAAAACTTTTTAGAAGTACAATAAAGTATAGACATGTGTACTCCACCGCTTTCTATTGACTAATCTTAAGATTTGTTGATTGACATAGAATGGAAGACAATTGTAAGAATTTGTATTTCGAAGTTTAAAAAAAGTCCACACTTATTGAGAAGGATATATACATGTGAGAAATGTAAATATCATTGTGTTGAGTTGCCCCTAGACATATTCTTACTCTAATGATATGATTTTAATATAGTTCCATTTAAATCCTTCAGATTGGTTTATAGAACTTAGCGACATTGTTGGAATCTCAACCTTGAGTATTATCTTGAAATTCGAAAGACCTAATGTTTTTAAGTAATTTAGAAGCTTAGATGTCAATGATTCAAATGCTTATGTTCGAAATACATCACTTGTCTACATAATCACAATATAGATATTGTTTTTCTTCACCTAAAATAATGAAACATTAGTATGTGCAATTTAAATAATTATTCAAATTTAGTTTGGTCTGTAAGTAAATAAGAGAGTAATCTACTTAAAATATATCACCAAGGAACGGGGAATGGATGCAGTCATTGATTTCATCTGTAATTTCAGTTGTTGATGCCAGGATGGATCTATACTTTAAAAACTCATCTTTTTGTAGTACTCAAGTAGGTTAGGATATATGGTTCAAACTATTACATTTATTGTGTGGTCAAGTTATGCATCTGGAATTTGTTGTATAACCATCATTGAATATGTCATAGTAATGGAAATAAATAAGAAGTTTGATAATGCAAACTTACCCACTAAAACATGAGTACAAATATTGTCACTTGGTACATATTAATGAGTTTTATAAAAACATAGCAATTTGTGGAAATATCATTCAGAACTTGTTGTTTAAGTTTTGTACCACTTGTGAATTAGAGTTTGAATGGATGATCATGCCTTATAAGAGTCCTTCATTGCAGAGTATATTGAAGTCCTCCTTCATGTCTGAATGATTATTTCATTTCATAATACTTCAAGATTTAAAAGCAAGTATTGTGATCCATATTAGTACAGTCCCTTGAGCAGTAAGGTTTACTATTATCATTAAGCACATGATTTAAAATACTTAAATGAAATTTATAGAGGTGTAGTTAAACTCAAGGTAAAAATATTGCATATGAAAGTTTGGGTGCTTACATTACACCCTTCAAAGTTTGGGTATTTAAATTATTTTCCCCTAATTTTAAATCTAAAGGAATGCATATTAATTCCGACTAACGTGATGGTTTTGGCTAATTACACGTGCATTATAAGTAAACCAATCTTCCTCAGAAAATTGAGAATCTCCAAATTGTCGTATATGAGTCTAACTATGAAGTTCATCAGAGTCGTCCTTGTTGTAAGTACCTGCATTAATATATATTCACTTCAATAATATGAAAATGACAAATTATCTTACTTTTATACTAAGCTTTGTGATAGAGATGAACCTGCCTTTGAAATGTTGAATCTCTAACGTATCTTCATTTATAAACAGTTTGGACGAATACTTTGAGTTCTATATTGAAGTTGGATGCATGCCTAACATGTAATGTTGTGAGAATTTTCATCGCATAAGATTTGGAATGCATATAACAGTGGCGATTAGGCACAATAAGAATTAGTGCGATGAAGAGGCTATACGTTGTGGCTCCCTGATCTTTGCCCGAGTCGAAATGAGTATGATGTGACCAGAATTGAGACCTGAATTTCATCAGTTCAAAGCAAGTCGACAGTGAAATTGTGTTGTACCGAGTAATAATTCAATATTCGTTCATATTAAGAAATGAATATTTAGTCTACTTTAATAGGAGTTTGGCCAAAGGTTATTTGTAAAACGATTTGGTAATTTCCGTCAGAGGGATTATTGTATTCGGGTGGACTAACGATGTACCAATTTATAGAAAACACCAAAGACATCTATACAAATAAATAACAATCATTGTTTCAATTTTTTATTCTGTAGTTGAATCAAATTTGGAGTGTTGTTATTAGAATTTCTGACCTATGTAGACATATTTATGAACATTTCCACTTAGTGTATCTTGGAACTTTTTAAACTCAAATCCACACAAAGGAACCAAAGTGAGTTCTTGTTCTCTAAGAGTCGTCCTACTTGTGAATTGCAATTTGTAGGCATGAGCGTAACCCCTATACCCCCCCCCCCCCATCATTGGGTGAAACTAAAAAATTCCGCATAATATAGCTGGCACAATCTTTTAAATTTAGCTGCCATATTACCATTTCAGGCTGCTTCAACGATGCCCGCACCTTGTAACCCCAAATAATGTGGATTCCAAGAAGTATTAGAGATAGTTTAGAAACTTCTACAGAGAACATAACATAGTTACTATGATAGTCATACCTTAGAGTCCATTGATATCATTTCACATCGTTTTTTCAGGCTTCTTTTTTGCCAGTGATGTCTTCAATGTTGTTGATTTTTCGTGTAATGGTACTAAGCAAAGGGTATGTAAACAATATATAATATGAGAAATGTTGAACACTTCAGATTAATACATAATATAAACTGGGAAAGCATATTGGAAATATGAGAATTTATTTTCTAGGGATATTTTCATCCATAAAACCGGAAAGAGCTTAAAGCCACAATGAATGGGTTATAACAGAAACACATTTGGGTTAAAGGATATGTAAACTAACTTTAGTTGCCAAATAGTTATTCATTAATGCACTTTAAAAACTAATATATGAAAAACATCATTAATTTTAGCTCATTGGAATTTTTTATTTCTATTTAAATGTTTGTACTAATATAAAATTGATATGTGCACTAACTAATTTATTTCTTCATTTTAATGGAACTTTGGTTTTAAATATTTTGTTTTCTTAATCATTTTGGTAATGTAAATGGACTTTTAATAGTTACTACACCATAACGATTTACATTCATACGTCCATGTAGGCATTTCATCAAACATAATGAGAGCGCAATAAGCATTGGGAATGTCATGTGTATGATTAATATGAGAGAGCAGAGGTGTGCTCTGTTTGTTTAAAATATTCTGAAACCAAAGTATAGTAATACTCATTAACATGATAATCAGAGACAAAATGTGTACGTAAATTCAGTAAAGGAAAATGAAACCAAAGTATAGTATTACCCATTTCTGGATTCTATCTTACCCACTTTGGTGGCATGATGAAAAATCTGCACTTCTTCTTATTCTGTTCTTTCTTTTTATTGGGCCAATATTTAAGACATCAATAATGTTTAGAAACACTAAGAATGTGTTTTTCATGCTCATTATTTCTTTCTTGACTAACATGACTTATTTTAATAGTAAATATATGCTTTTTGCTATTTTTTCTCTTTTTAAATAGGAGCAGGGGAAGTTTGGCCTAAACTTTAACATAGTTTTAGCTTTTGACTAACATGATTTATTATTAATGCAAATTGGTCTATTATTTTTGTCCTTAATAGCACTCGGGTTTTAAGTTATTAGTTAGATTTTTTTAATTCATTGTTCAAAAAAAGGTGGGCTGTGTTTTATTTTGTAGAATGATAACTGTAGTTTAATATACATGATTATCCTAAAAAACCATGCCGTATGTTCTGGAA